CACTTTGAGGGAAAGACCACTACGAACTATAAATATCGTGCAATCGGTGTATCTGTCTCGCCTATTTGCGCTTGAATCAGACTGTCCCACCACTACCTATGATTAGGGATTTACGAGAGAATCTGAATCCTCAGGAAAACAAAACTCGTTCGCCAGTGACCTCATGTTCTTCTTCTGAACTGCTCCCTGGAATTCGCACATTCTCTTCTATCCGCAAAATTGGTAATGCAAATTCAAAAGCTCGCAAGCAATAGCGTGGTCAAACAGTCGCGGACGCCCGCGGATATAATAACTACAACATATGCTAGAAAGATCGAACCAAAAGTTACATGAGGACCGTCGACAATCACGAAGCCACAAGAGGATGACCAAAAGAAGACCAGTATGTCGGCTGAGCGAAAGACTGCTTGGTGTGGGAATGAAAGATTAGTTAATGGTTTTGAGATACAGGCAGGGCTTGTGAAGTCCGCGGGCGACTATAAAGAGAGGCAACGCACTAATATGGCTTTGATCCCCATAGAAAAACCTTCTAAGAGTCAGAGTGCCATAGAAAATGTGACCAAAGTCGAAAGACCGAGAGAAAGCAGCTGCAGCTTTCCGCCGCAATCTGGTTTCCCTGCCTAAGCTGGTTCGGTACCAGCAAACATCGCTGGGCTAAGATTGACAATGAGCTGGTGAATCAGAAAAATCTGAAGTTTCACTGCTCCGTTTTGGGGGAAACCATTTGTTATTCCAGGGGCAGAATCTGCATCCCTAGCTGCTTGTTCGACGTGGTTAAGGGCAAATAAGTGAGCTGGGCGACATAAGCAGCTAAAACGGCCACACCGCCAACATCCCCTTTGCAATCTGAGTAAGCCCTTATTCCGAGAGATTTTCTGATGCGGATGCAGTAGCAGTTTGAATAGCGGTGAACACATGCATCAGGAACGTTTTTTAACGATTATTTATAATTCAGTATAAATAAGGAAGATAGGCAGAGCCTTTGAAAACCCTATTATCAGATAGATGCTGTCAAATAATGGATGTCATTCAAAGCCACATATGCGTTATGTAAATCGTTGTTGTCTACCAAATGTATGACCAGCAAGTAAAGTAAGA